GTTCCACGTGTGTGTGTGTGTGTGTGTGTGTGTGTGTGTGTGTGGTTGTTCTGGTGGTCATGGTCCTCGCAACGGCTTGTGGGGTGCGGATGACTGTGGTATGGGCATGGTGTATGGCTGTGGTATGGGCATGGTGTATGGCTGTGGTATGACTGTGGTATGGGCATGGTGTATGACTGTGGTATGGCTGTGGTATGGGGGACACGACCTGGCATGGTATGGGGACACGACCTGGGCACGGTGTGGGGGCATGCCATGAACACGACCCTCTCCTTCGCCCTCGACAACACAGGCCCGCGCTGGGCCTCGGCCAATCTCGGCGTCTTTGTCTGCATCCGCTGCTCGGGCATCCACCGCAACATCGGTGTCCACGTGACCCAGGTCCGCTCGGTCACGCTTGACACCTGGCTGCCCAAGCAGGTCGAGGTGATGAAGGCCATGGGCAATGCCAACGGCAAGCGGGTGTACGAGGCCCGCTATGACGGGCCATCGCCGCGGTTCTCAGAGGGGGAGACCCGTGCCTGCGAGGCCTGGATCCGCGCAAAGTACGAGCGGAAGCAGTACTACAGCAAGGAGACCCACGACGCCATCCTCGATGCGTACTTTAACCCAAAGGCGCAGCCTGCGACTGCGGCTGCTCCTGTGGCTGCGCCTGCGCCTGCGGCTGCGGCTGCGCCTGCACCTGCGCCCGCACCTGCGCCCGCGCCTGCTCCGACCTCCACCCCGATGGTGAGCGTGGCACCTGCCGCTGCTGTCGCGGCCCGGTCAGGCGGCACGCCGTCGACGCCCAATCTTATCGACTTTACGTCGACGCCCACGCCGTCGGCTACGTCTCACTCTTCGGCCGCGTTTGGCTCTGACCCTGCGGCTCTGTTTGCCGGCACCCCGCCTGCGTCGGGCGCCTCGACCCCTGCCTTCCCGTCGGGCTCGTCGACGCCGCCGGCGATTGGCTCGGCCGCCCCGCCGTCGGCTACAGCGACGACTGCCGCCGCGCCGGCTCCCACCGCGCCGGCTGCCTCCGGCTCGTGGGTCGAGTCGCTCTTTTTCAACCCGCAGACCGCTGCCCAGTCGGCGCCGGCCATTATGGCCGTCTCGCCCGATCCACTCGTCTCGGCGCCGGCCGCGCCGGCCAAGCCCAAGCCGTCGACTGACGACATCATGTCGCTGTACCAGCCGGCCGCGCCGGCCGCGCCAGCCTTTGGCGCCGGCTTTGGCGCGCCCGCCATGCCGGCCTTTGGCGCCGGCTTTGGCGCCGCGTCCGCCCCGGCAGCCGCGCCGGCTGCGGCCTTTGGTGGCTTTGGCGCTGCACCAGCCGGCAACCCGGCCGCGGCTTTTGGCTTCCACCAGGCGCCGGCGCAGCAGCAGGCGCCGGCGCAGCCGCAGCCGCATCAGGCGCAGCTCGCCATGCAGCAGCAGTTTGCGCTGCAGAACATGATGCGCCAGCAGCAGGCGCAGGCGCAGGCCGCGCAGGCGCAAGCCGCGCAGGCACGCGCCGCATCGATCACCTACGGAGGCGTCGGCCTCGGCGCCGCTGCAGCCCCGGCGCTCACCCCGCTCACCCCGGTCTCATCCAGCGGCGGCGGGAGCGCAAAGGCCGCCGACTTGAGCGACGCCTTTGCCGGCCTGTCATGGTGAAGGAATAGAGTAACATGTGCGGAGGAGGAAGGTTGATGGACAAAAGTCAGCGTTTGATGAGAGACGGTGGCGGTGCAAGCGACCAGACAGCTTGTAGGCGTGCTTACTGCGCGCACGGCCACGGGCACCAGCGCGAGGCCGAGTGAAGGGTGCCGTTAGCGGCGACGATGACGTTCGACGTGACGGTCTGCAGGTTGAACGTCGGCTTGATGGAGAGCACGTCCCACGCGGCGTCCATGTTAACGTTGGCGTGGCCAAGATGCTCGAGGTGGTCCATAAGCGGGATGTACCGCTGGTCGAACCACGGCGAGCCGTTGGGCGGCGCGCCCGGACCCCACGGGTAGTTGGTCACGCCCACCCACCACTTGCCAGAGTCGACATCGAGCGCGGTGGTGTTGAAGACCGAGTCTGCGGCACGGGCAACAATGATGCCCTCGTTCTTGGACACGCCCGAGATGGTAAAGTAGACGTCCGACGGGAGGCGGACAGACGAGAGGTACTTGACGGCATCGGCCCACGAGTACCCGGCCGCCAGAGCGTTGCGAGTGGCAAAGAGCACAAGCGTCGAGTCGTGCTGGATGATGTCGTTGACAATCATCTCCACATACGCCCACAACCCGCCCGGCACAAACCGGGTGTTGACCGTCGAAGCGTGCCCACCGGGCACGACGCCGGTCAGCGAGCCAAACATCCCGCCGATCATGGTGATCTCGTATGCTGTCTTGCCGCCCTTGGTAAAGGTGCCGTAAAAGGTGCAGTTCTTGAGCGTGCCAGCAAACGAGAGCCCCGACCAAAAATCGAGGTTGCGCCCGTGGATGACCGACTGCGAGTCGGGCGTCGCCAGAATCATCGACGTGCAGGCGTCCGACGCCGTGTACGCCACCTGCACAAACGCCAGCCAGCCGGCGTCAATGTCGAGCGCCTTGGCGCACCCGGCAAGCTCGCCCGAGTACTCAGCAGGGAGGAACTTGTTGATGGTGTTGCCAAACTCGACAATGCGCTTGCCGCCGTCCTCCAGCCCGGCCGCGATCCAATCAAACATGTCAGTCAGCTCGTGGATGAACGTCTTGTTGGCGCACACTTGCGCAAACCGGTTCTCCGGCGCCGCGTCGAGGTCGATCGTGTACGATGGAATGTCCATCGTCTCCGGATGGTCGTCCGCCCACGGCTGCTTGCAGAAATCGAGCTTGACGCACGTGTTGGCAATCGACACCTTGTCACCAATGTCGTCGAAAATGGCCGGAAGCGAGGCAACCAGCAGCTTGCACGGGGCCTGGAGCGAGGCCGGCATCCGCGGGCAGAAATCCTACATCACCGCCGCCAGGCAAATGGCCCACTGTGAGTGGTTACTTGGCTATGTACGTGTTGGCACCAGTATCCTGCCGAAAAAAGGGACAAACTCGCATGCACAGTACTCTCCCCCGCCGCCCTCACATCGCCCTCCTCTTCTACCTGCCAGCCCAGATGGCAGCAGTAGCAGCAGCAGTAGCAGCATCAGCAACAGTAGCAGCAGCATCAGCACTTGTATCCCTCTCCCTTCCACCACCATTCCACCGAGCCATCGCCCAGCCATACCCCCCCTCCCCCCCCCTCCCCCCCACTCACACCAAACTCCCCCCCAAAAACCTGGCAGCGCATGCATGCTGCCGGCTTTGCGCCCTGCCACAACAACCGGCAAGAAAAGACATGGCGTGGGGCACGTGACCTCCCCTCCCCTCTTCTTCCCTCCCCCCCCCCCCCCCCCCCCCCCCTTCTAGCTTCCTTGGCTTCCTTGCTCACTTCCTCCGTACCTTGTTGAGCTCGTCCTGGATAAAGGCGACAGTATCGTTCTCCATCATGAGAGCAAAGATCTCATTGAATGCGATGGAGCAGAGAGCACAGGGAAGATGATGGCCTTCAGCAACGGCACGGGCATAATCAGCAGAGTCTGCAGGACGAGGAGAGGACATGGCCAACTCGACAGCTGTCAGGTCGGCTTGGAAGGCAGGCGAGGCAAGCATGGCCTGCGCACGGCTCGCCGCCAAGCTCCGCTCCACATCCACAGCCATGCCCGAGCACAGCCCTGCAAGGCTCATGCATGCCACGGCAACAACCATAACAATGCTCACGCGCGCCATGTTGGGTGAGAGAGTCAGGTATGACCCCCTCGAGGGGGGGGGGGGGGGTGGCGGCGGAGGTGCGGGCAGGCACGGGCGGCGGGCTGCCTTTTTCGCGGGGATCTGGCGGGTTGGCTCTGGAGCTCACCTGGGGAGTGATAGGTGGGCGAGGGGAGGGTGATGAAAGTGTGTGGGAGTGTGATAGAGGTGGAGGAGGTACAGGGCTCGAGGAATGATCGCAGAATCAAGTTTAGAGTGGAAAACTGGAGGTTGCCAGCCATGGCGAGTGCGGGCTGATGGACCATGCTCACTACTCGATGCGCATCCTGGCCATGCCAGAATAGCCACCCGAAGAGCCACCCGAAGAGCCGCCCGAAGAGCCGCCACCCGAAGAGCCGCCCGAAGAGCCACCGGAAGAGCCGCCGCCCGAAGAGCCGCCGCTCGAAGAGCCGCCGGTGGACGAGCCACCAGTGGACGAACCGCCAGTGGACGAACCGCCAGTGGACGAACCGCCGGTTGATGAGCCGCCAGTCGATGAGCCGCCAGTCGATGAGCCGCCAGTCGATGAGCCGCCGGTCGACTTGCCAGATGAGCCGGTTGAGCCGGTCGAGGTGTAGTTACCCGACGAGCCGCCGGTCGACGAGTAGCCGGTCGACTTGCCCGAAGATCCACCGGTGGTGTAGTTACCCGACGAGCCGCCGGTCGACGAGTAGCCGGTCGAGTGGCCCGACGAAGTCGAGTTACCTGTTGACGAGGTGGTACGGCCCGACGACGACACCGGCGATGGAGTCGGAGTGGGGGCCGGCGTGGGGGCAGGGCCGGGAGCCGGGGTCGGGGCCGGGGTCGGAGCCGGAGTCGGGGCCGGCGCAGGGGTTGGCGATGGACCAGAGCCACCCGACGCGATGCACTGGGCATCAATCTCGCACCGGTTGCCGACCTGCGAGCACCAGAGGCTGTTGCGCGCATCTGTAGCAGCCTGCTGGTAGTTGCCCGCCATGATCGCCGACCGCATCGAGGTGAACTGCTCCAAGCCGGCGCAGCCCATGTTGAATGCCATGTCCGTCAGCGCACCAGCCACCTCCTGCGGCTGGTTCGGCGCCCACGACTCGGCACACTGCTGGAAGATCGGGTACGTGTCCTGGTTAAAAATCTGCATCACCTGCGACCGGGTCAGGCACTTTTGCGGCTCGTACGTAGGCGTCTCATCGCACGTCACCTCCGGGTGAGAGAACCCACGGGAGATGACCTCCTGCGCCGTCAGGCCAAACTGCTCCAGAACCTCCGGATGCGCGTTGATGTTGAGGCCAACACTGATGAACGACGACGATGATGACGACGACGATGATGACGATGACGATGACGATGGCGATGATGGCGATGATGGCGATGACGATGACGATGACGATGATAGTTGCGAGAGTCAATGGCAATTACGTTAGTTGGTACATGAAGGGGAGGGAGGGAAGGAAGGAAGGAAGGAAGGAAGGGAGGGAGGGAGAGAGGGAGGGAAAGGCGGACGGGGAGGACTCTCGGCTGTGCCAGCCCGCCTACATGACCATGCCGTCCGACAAATCGAACACGTCTGATCAAGCCACCGCCACTGCCACGGCCACCACCCCAGCTGAATGGCAGTATACATGGAAATGCCAGTGTGTCTGGAATGGCATGCGTGGAGGACGTACCCAATGGTGGGAATGCCCCGAGAGTCGAGGTAGGCACAGAGCCTGCAGCCCTCGTTCTGGGCAGTCTGCGAGGGACCGCACTGAGCCTGGGCAGACGGAGTGAGGAGGAGGGCAAGGAGGAGGCAGCTGAGGGCAGCCACAGTAGCCACACGCGAGGTAGCACCACCACAGGTCATCGTAGCTTGAATATGCTCCAAGTCAAGCGAGTCCGAGAGAGGAATGGTTGTTCCTCCCGCTCTCTTCTCCTGCCCCCCTCTCCTACTGCGGCACGCGTGCGTTTGCCACGTAAAAACTTTGCAAAGCATCTGTCATTTTTTTGCGGCACGCGCGGATGGCTCGGACAGCAGGCCTCTGGGCGCCAGGGGCGCTGGGGTGATCGCCACAGGCCATACTAGTGATCACGGAGAGCAGGTCGCTCAATAGTCGCGGAGAGAAGCCCCTGGCCATCAGCCACTACACACGATGGAGATGCTGGAACAGCTGATGCCGTCCACCGACGCCACCCTGCCCGGTATTGGACGGAAGCACGACTTTGCCTGGGACGGCGCCACTTCCGCTGTGGCGTACCTCCACCTCGCTGCTCGCCAGCACCCCGGCCTTGATCACAGAGTCGCCGTGCGGGATCGAGACGGCCGCCCCGTCGAGCGTCAGTGGCCGCCACGGGGGCGGCGCCTTTCCGCTCCCGCCAGGAAGCGTGAGATGCGGGGTCCGGTCGACCGCGCCAAAGCTCGTCTGCAGCCGCCGCCCACCGATCGCCGGCGAGAGCACAGTCGGACCTTGCAGCCCCACAGACGCCGGGGCCACACTCGCCTTGCTCCGTATCGGTGACAGCGGCGCACGCTCACTTTCAGGTGCAAGCTCCATCTCTCGCCATCGTGCCTCACGCGCTTGCGCCCGCGCGGCCTCTTGCTCCTCCCACAACGCCTGGAGCCGCGCCAGCTCCTCCCGCTTTGCTGCAAGCAGCGCCTCGGCAGCATCTTCGTCCGCCTCCTCGCTCTCAACAGACTCCTCCGGCACTACATCTCGCTCTGGGACAAGCGGCTCGATATCGTACAGCGGCTCGGGCTCGGGCTCGGGCTCGGGCTCGGGCTCGGGCTCGGGCTCGGGCTCGGAAGCGGCTGCAGGCTCGGGATCGGCCTCAAGCTCAGGCATGTCGTCGACAACCGTCTCGGCCCTAGCGCCACCCACAACTTCGACGCCGCGGATCAAGCCACCCAGCTCCCGCTTTGCCTCCTCCAGCACACTTAGCAAAACGCGGCCCTCACTGTCCTTGGCCTCCTTCTCGAGTTCGATGCCGGCAAGGTACTCCCGAAGCCGTCGGATCTCACGGTCGATGGGGACGAGCTCTGCCCGCACATCGTGCGAGAACTTGGCCGCCGCGTCGAGACCCGACTGCGCCTTGGCGAGTTCGACCTGCAAGTCGGCGTACTCTTGGAACAACTCCATCCGCTGGGCCTCGAGCTCATCCATCCGCGCCGCAGACGCGTGCTCTTCGGTCACAGCCACCAGCTTGTCACGTGCTGCCGCAATTGAAATCCGCAGCTCGTCTAGCTCGGCGGCGAGGGCGTTGAGATCCTCCTCCGGAATTCGCGCCAGCGTGTGCTCTGTCGACGCAATCTTGTCCTCGAGAACCTCCAGTTCCTTGGTCAGCCGGATTCGCTCCATCTCGAGCACTCGCCGCCGTGCACGCCCTTCCACTGTGTCCTCCCCCACCCGAGCAAGGTACACGCCTTCGGCCTCGGCAAGCTTCCGCCGGGCGTCGGCAACCTGCTCCTCTAGTGACGAGACGTGGACCTCGAGTGCGAGCATGTCGTTTGCCTCGGCCGGGTGGCTCAGACTGTCCACTTCGGCGAGCCGATCGCACAGCCGCTCCAGCTCCGCCGCCAGCGACGCTTTCTCCATCTCCAGCGTTCGTCGCCGCGCCTTGATCTTGGCCTGCTGCTCGCCGAGCGCCGCTAGCTGCGCCCCACGCTTGGCCGCAAGCTCGCGCTGCGTCGACGCCACAGTCTCCTGAAGCCGCAAAACTTCAGACTGGAGCATAGCATCATAGTCCGGCGCGTGCGACGGCGCAAGCTCCTTCAAGAGTGAATGGAGCGGCGACGACTCGGTCGCAAGCGCCTCCAACTGCTCTGCTAGCCGCCGGCTCACCTCTAGCAGCGTCGCCTTTTCCTTCTCCAGATATGTCCGCCGTGCACGGATCGCAGGATCTTCGCCCAGTTGCGCAAGTGTGAGCCCCTCCCGCCGCGCAAGTTTCTCCTGCAGCTCTGCTACTTCGGTCCGCAACTCGGCCACACGCCGCTCCTCGGCCTCGAGTCCGTGCTGTGAGCCGGTCGCTGCATCGGCCTGGCCTAGCAAGCTGTCCATCCGCGACTTGAGCTCCGTCATCTGCGCCTCCAGCAGCGCCCGCTCTGCACCCATTGCAGACATCCGCACCATCGCCATCTGCAGCGACGACGCATACGCCGCCTCGCGCTTGGCAACCTCGGTCCGCAGCGCGCTCACCTGCCCTCTCAGAGCCTCATTCTCACCGCCTGCACGAGTGTTCGGCACAGGCAGCTCCATCGCCAGTCGCTCCCGCAGCGCCTCCAGCTCGGCCTCCAGCACCATCTTCTCTTCCTCATATTGAATCGCTGCAATGTTGAGCGTCGACGCGAGGCCCGCAGACCGGCCCTCCCGCTCTGCAACCTGCATCCGCACTCGCACCACCTCGGCGCGTAGCGCTGCGTTTGATGACGCCATGTGCTCGTTGCTGGACGTCATGTCACCAAGTTGGATTGATGGCTGCGACGCAGCCCGCAGTGCGTTTTCTAGCTCCCGCAGCTGCGCCTTGAGCGCCGCCTGCTCCGCCTGCAGCGTCGATGCCCGCGCCCGCGCCACCTCGGTCTTGGTCATCGTCTCAAACTCGCGCGCCTTGACATCGCGCTGCGCCTCGGCCACTTGCATCCGCAGCCGCGACAGCTCCGCCTCGCTCACTCCGCCGGCCCCGCCACCGCTCATCGCCGCCTCGGCCGCGCCCGCCATGTGCGTCTCGATCTGTGATGTCAGCTGCGCGAGCGTGTGCTGAAGCTTTGACAGCTCTGCCTCCAGCGCCTCCTTCTCCTTGGCCACCAAGAACTGCCGCGTGCTCTTTTCCTGGCTCCGCTGCGACGCGGCGTCACGGAGAACAGAAATCCGCGCTCGCATCCCGATCACCGAGTGCCGGAGGCTCGTGTTTGGATCGCCGCTCACCGCATCACCATCGCTCCCAACCCCAGCCTCCTCTGCCGCAAGTTGCGACAATGCTGCCGAGAGCGAGTCGTACTCGGCCTGCAGCGCCACGCGCTCCGAGTCGTGCATCGCCCGCGACGTGGCCGCGCTCAGAAGCTTGGACTGCAGTGCGCCGAGTTGAGACCGCAGCTGCAGAACGCGCTCGCGAAGAGGGCCGTTAGGATCCTCTGGCACAGGCGGTATCCGCGCCTCTTCCGCCAGCGCCGTGTTCAGCGCCTCGATTTCTGTCCGCAGCCGTGCTCCAATTGCCTCGTGGAAGGCCTGCGCAGACGCGGCCCGCTCTTCCGCAGCACGGAGCGATTCTTCGCGGACCAGCAGTTTCTGCTTCAGCGCAATCACCCGCGCCCGCAGCTTCTCGTTTGGATCTGCCAACCCGGCCTCGGCCTTTGGCGTTGCCATCTTGGCCAGAGTCTCCTGCAGCTCGGTGAGCTCGGTGGACAGCGCCTCGGCCTCCAGCTTGGTCAGCAGCGCAGCTGATCGCGCCTCCATCCGCTCAGACTCGGCGTGCGCCACCGCTCGCCGGGCCGCAGTCAGATCGTCCTGGATCTCGCGGATGGAGTCGAGCGACTCTAGCCGGTCGGCGTTGAGCTCTTGCAGCGCCGCCTTTTCTTCGTCTAGCGACCGCCGCTGCGCCCGCATCGACGCCTGCAGCGAAGCCTTTTCCTGCAGCATCACCTCCAGGTTGGCCTTGACCGCCTTGCTCTCGGCCTGCGCCTCGGCAAGTTCGTTACGAAGGCCGCTTAGCGTCTCGCGGAGCTCGTTGATTTCTGTTGTGTAGTCCTTGAACTTGGTCTTGCGTCGTGTCGCCTGAATCTGCTTCATCAGCTCCTCGCGCTCTGCAGTCAGCGCTAGCTTCTCGCGCACGTATGCTGTCTCGACGTCCTCCAACTCCGCCTGCTTCACCCGCATCTGAGAGTGATTGCGCGCCAACGTGCTGCGCAGCTGCTGCACTTGCTCCAGTAGCTCGGCGTTCTCGTGCGGCCGCACGCTCTTGGACTCCATAATGTGCTCGGTTTTGGCCTTGAGCGACGCGTCCAGCTCGTCGATTGCCTCGCGGAGGCCGGACATCTCGGCTGCCAGCGTTGCCCGCTCGTTCATCCATTGCACCTCTTGGTCGTGGCCAGGCGTTGCCACCGCCAGGATTGCTCCGCGCTTGCGTGCCAGCTCCTTGCGTGCAGCTTCGACCTCCTCGCGGAGCCGCGCGTTCGGGTTCTTCTTGCGCGCTGCCGCTGCTGCCGCCGAGGACTCCTCGGCCTCGCGGTCAGCGAGCGCAGCCATCTGCGCCTTGAGCACATCCAGCTCGGCTTTGAGCCGCACGTTGTCCATCTTAGCCTTGACTGTCATCTCCAGACCAGCGTCCGGCTCTGCCAGCATCGTCCCACGCTTTTCTGCCAGCTGGACTCGCAGCTCCTGTACTTGCCGCTCCATGTCCTGATTTGCCTGCTCGAGCTCTACAGGCGGCGCAAGGACCGGGTGCAGCTCATCAAAGTGTTCGAGCATGTGCTTCAGTCGCTTGTGTTCGGCCTCGAGCGTCATTCGCTGTGTCAGCACCATGTCCTTCTTGGCCGCCACGTTGTTGAGTTGGTCCTGGAACGCGTTCTCGCGCATGGTGTGCTCTTGCCGGAGCTTGACCACCCGCGCCCGCAAGTCGGCGTTTGGATCGCCAATCGATTCCAGCGGCGGCTTTTGAGCCATTTCGGCCTGCAGCTCGGCAAGCTCGGCTGTCAGCTGGGTGTACTCGGTCTCCATCATTGCCTTCTTCGCCTTGCGCACCATCAGCTGCCCATCAACCTGGGCCATCGCGTGCCGGAGCTCGGTCACTTGCTTCCGCAGTTGCAGCGTCGATGAGTCCAGTGCAGGCTGGTTGAGCTCTGCCCGCTTCACCTCCAGATCGCCCTGCAGCTCCTGCAGCTCGGCACGAAGTGCAATCTTCTCGTGCTTGGCTGCAATGATTGCCAGCCGTTCCGGATTGGGATTTGCCGCTGCGCGGCCTTGCGCCTCGGCTGCCTGGGCACGCTTGGCCTCCACCTCCTCGCGGAGCTCGGCAAGCTCGGTAAGTAGCGTCTCCATTTCTTCCGATCCGGATCGACCAGAAGCTAGCTCATCTGCAGGCCCGGCTGCAATGTCGGGCTGCGACACCGCAGCCAGTTGAGCCAACTCTTGTACAAGAAGCGCCTTTTGCGATGCCAGTGTCGCCAGCTTGGCCGCCGCCGCATTTGACTCTCCAGCGTGCTGAGCAGCGGCCCGTCGAGCATCCTCAACCTTGGCCCGCAGCGTCTCGAGCTCGGCTTTGCTCTCTGCGAGAGCTGCCTCACTTGCCCCAGCATCAGCGTCTGCAGACGCATGATGGCTACTAAGTGCCACCAGCTCGGCCTCGAGTGCCATCCGCTCGTTGTTCAGCAGCGCAAACGCAGCCCGCACCTCGTCCGGCCCGCGCGCGCCGAGCCACTCGCCCTGCTGCCGCGACACATCCGCCCGGAGCTGCGCCACTTCTTGCCGTAGAGGCTCAAGGTCGTCAACAGGCATCGGTGGCGTTTCCAGAGGGGCGTCCTTAGCCGCTTTCAGCCCAACCAGCTCGGCCTGAAGCCGGGCGCGCTCCGAATCGAGATGTGCGCTGGCTGACGCGACGTCGAACCAGACCGACGACGCCATCCATGCTCCGCGCACTTCTGCCAGTGCCGCCCGCTCGCTACTCACAGTGCTGCGCAGTTCGACGAGCTCAGCCTCTAGCGCTCGTGCGTCGGCCTCGGCCTTTGTCATGCGTGCAGTACTCGCCTCGACATTTGCCTCGGCTGCCTCGCGCTGCTTGCGGGTCGCCTCGAGGAGCGATGAAATAGCCTCGCGCTCAAACTCGAGCTGCTTGACGGTGACGAGCGCCGCAACCTGACTCGCTGTTGATGTCGAGGCCTTGGTAAACGCCGCCGCCAAGTCGGCTTGTGCCCGTCCGACCGAGGTGCGGATGGCGTCAACATCTGCGCGCAGGTCGCGGACTTGCTTCTCGGCCTCGGCGGCACTGGTCGCCAGCTCGATTGCATCGGCGTCGGCCAGCCCGAGGACCTCGCCCAGCGCAGCCAGCTCGGCCTGCAGCCGCGCAGCTTCGTTCTGGAGCGTGATGGACTCGAGGGAGAAGCGCGATCGTGCTGCAAGCGTACCTTGTGCCTCGGCCACTCTCTGCCGCGCGGCGACAACGTCGGCGCGGAGCGCAGCCACCTCGTCGAGACTCGGGGCGGCATCCGCCGTTGGCAAACTGGGTGTGCCAATGGCAGCGAGCTCGGTCTCCAGCTTGGTGAGTGCCGCGAGCTCGGCAGAGAGAGCATCACGCTGCGACGCAGCCTGCAGCGCTCTCAGTGAGGCTGCAAATTCGTCTGCAGAGAACAGCGCGCCCGACATCGACGCTGCCTGTGCTTCGGCCAGCGCTGCTCGCTTGGACTCGACCGCTTGGCGGAGCTCAGCTAGCGCATCGTCCGAGACCAGTTCCTGGCCCGCGAGGCCTGGAAGCTCTCCGTCGGGAAATCCTTCCGCAAGAAGAGTTAGCGAGCTGTTGAGCTGGTTGGCTTCTGATGAGAGCACAGCCGCGGCGAGCGCCCGAGTCTGGGCCTCGATGTAGGTGAGCAGGTCAAAGGGCGCCGCTGCACGGGCGGCAGTAGCGTCGGCGATCTGAGTATGCAGCTCCTGGACTGCGTTTTGCAGCTCGGCGAGTTCCTTGGCAGTCATGGTCGGTGGCGGGCTAAGACTCTGCGAGAGGGATATATCGCTCGGCTCGGCGTCAAGCACGTCGTCAAGTCGCGACTGCAGCGCCTCGAGTTGGGCCTGAAGCGTACGCGACGTTGTATTGTTGAGCGAGTTGTTGAGCGCAGCCTCGTTGGCAGCAACCAGTGCGGCTGCGGATGCCTCGGCAATCTGGGTTGTCAGCTCCTCCAGCTCTCCGCGCTGAGCAGCAAGCTCGGCCTCGTGGGCGGCGTCGTCTTCGGGCTTGCTCGCGCTCGCGCGCTCCTTTTCGGCAAGAGCGGCACGGAGAGCCTCAAGCTCTGCCACCAGAGTCGCTTTTTCGGCAGCAAGAAGCGCAGCGCGCTCGGCCCGCAGCGCGCCGACCTCTGACGAGAGGACGGCGTGCGGGTCGGGAAAGTCTGAGGCTGTGACTGTCGCCTCGAGAACCTCGCGGTCGTGGAGGGCGTCTTCAAGCGCCGACTCGTTGAGGTTGGGCTTGAGTGCCCGCCACTGGACTTTGCGCTCTTCAGTCTTGGTCTCGAGCGCCTGGATCTCCATAGTCAGCTGCGGCTTACCGGACGAGGCGGTCTTGTGGGAGAGGGCCTGGAAGGCCCAGCGGCCGTCGTCAGCGCGGAAGATCTTGGCCATGACCAACGCACGCGTCGAGCGCGAGTCCAATTCGCGCTCGGCCAGCCGGACGGCAAGCAGCTCGCGGCCGTCGGCCTCAGCGGCCTCGTTGGGGGGAGACCGTCGTTTGAGCAGTCGACGACGCGGACAAAGCAGTGGCGGAGCTTGGCAAAAGCCTCCCGAGTCCCGTAGCCGGTGAGCGAGACGTAAAAGTAGTCAACCTTGGCCTCGATGCCCTGCGGATGAACGATGATGCACTCGTTGTCGCCTTCCCGGATGCGGCCGTCGTCGTCGCCCAGATGGACCATCGACTCGTCGTGTGTGGCCATATTGGAAAAGTCGATGGTCTCCACCAGGCTGTTATCCTTGGAGAACAACATCAACGACAAGTCCAAGTCGATAGCTTGCCTCTCATTCCTCGCACCCCATCCGCCAGCAATCACGATCTGTCCGCCACACATCCACCACCCGCCGCCGATACAACCCGCAATACCACCAGCAAGCAGAGCACCCGTCAGTCCCCCCTCCCCCGTCCCCGCCACCTACTGCTCATTCACGGATCCGCCCACAACATATCCTCTCCCCTAGTGACCGTCCTCTTGCGCGCGCGCACGATCCGGCGCCAACTCCGCTCCCCACCGGCAAGCCACCCACCGGGAAGCCACCCAACGGCAAGCCTCCCCCCCCCCCCCCCCTCCCCCCCCCCCTCTCCTCCACGTCCACTCAATGGACATACCTTTGTCAACTGGAGGGGCTTTGTCTCCAAATAGGCCACCTCGCCGGGGCGGAGGTCGTTGGCGTCGGCTGCCATGGCCGGTGGTGCGTGTGAGGAGTGTTCGGTTGTCGACCAAGTTTGGTCGGTTGGCTGGGTGCCCACCGAGAGGGGGGGGGGGGGGGAGGGGGGGGATCATGGGATCATGGGATCGGATATCATCGGATCTCATCTAAAGACACCGGATTAAATGGCTGATGGTTGGATGGAGGGGTGGGTGGTTGGGTGGATGGAGGGGTGGGTGGGTGCCGCTTTGGATGGCAGCTGGGATTGGGCAGGCGGGGGCAGGGGGAGGGGGGGGGGGGGAAGGAGAGGCAACCTCGGCCAGCATTCGGCGATCACCTCTTTGATGATGGGCGTTGTGGCGTGGGTGGTTGGGTGGAGGTCGAGGGTGAGGTTGGTCACAATCCTGACAGATCGCGGGAGAGGTCAAATGTGGCGGCGCAGGGCTGTGTCGCCATGTAGGCGGCAATGTCGGCGATGCCACAGGCGTGGACGTACATAGCGGCGGCGGAGAAGATATGGAGCCAATTGTGCGAGTTGCCAAGATAGTCGAAGAAGCCCGATGGCACAAAGCGCTCCGGAACGCGCGAAGCGTAAAAGGCGGAGCCTAGGGCGAGGAGGAAGACGGCGCGAAGAACCGAGGCGACAAAGGTGGCGACGACGGGATGATCGCCGACGAGCCAGGCAATGTGTAGGGTGGAGACGACGAGTGTGGCGACGAGCGAGCCCATGGTGAGGATGCGGCCGACGATAAAAGCCGGATCGGTCATGATGGGCAGCTGCGTGGCGCCTGCGACGGCAAGGGCAACGGCAGCAAAGACAGACAGGTGCAGGGCCTGCCACTGGGGATAGCAAGCGAGCGAAAAGTATGCGATTGGGATGTACGCACCGACGATTGATGCGACGATTCCGTTGACATCGGCCTGATTGCAACATCTGTAGGTGGCCTCATTGACCGAGTTGAAGGTATGGAAGATGGATGAGGCGGAGAAAGCGATGATGACCATAAGATGAAAGACGCCTTGCGCAGCCACGGCACCCCAAGAGTAACCATCATCCATGGCTTGGACCAGTGCCATGTATCCCACAAGTACAAAGCCTGCTGCTGCCCATAGATGGCTATGGATGTTGGCTGTCTGGTTGTGCCATCGCCAGACAGAGGCCAGACATGCTGCTGCTGGCCACTCTACACGGTAGCCCGAGGTGATGAACCGCATCTGGAGGTACACAGGCGCCTCCGAGTAGGATACAAGCCGTAAATTCTCTCTCTTGTCGGACACCATCTGGGCGAGGTAGTGGTAGGGGGGGGGGGGAGGGAGGGGGTGGTGCGGTGAGTTGAGTCTGTCGGTGGGCAGGCGGGCAGCAGGCAGCAGGCAGCAGGCAGCGGGCAGCGGGCAGGGGATGGGTGGCGGCAGTGGTGGTGGTGGTGATTGGGGGAGGGGATGGCCATTGATCACTGATTGTGGGTCTGGTGTCTGATGTGTGAGGGGGATGGTGCAGAGTGGCGTGGATGGGGGTGGGGTGGCTACGGGTTAGAGGCGACGTAGTGCGGTGGACAGTGGTGCAGGGCGATGATCCCGGGGGGTGGATCGGGCGGCGATCTGGCAGCGGGTTTACATCATCTACATGCCGTACTTCATCATCATCTTGCGCTTCCAAGTCTCCGAGACATTGGGGTCGACGGCGTTGACATTGATGGGCACACCCGGGCCATGGGTGGAGGAGAGGTTCGCGGCGACGAGGAGGCGGCCCTTCTTGTTCAGCTCGGGCTTTGCGTCAAAGATGGCCTTGACAAAGGCAGCGATGTTCTCCTCGAGGGCCTGGTCGGGCATGTCGACGTGGCCGACTGCCGCATGGACAAGGGCAAACCGATCCAGCCGGTAGTCAACCGACGGCATGCGGAGCTGCTTGATAAGCGGAACGACGTCTTCAGCCACGGTTCCACGCTTGGGATTGGGCATGAGGCCACGCGGGCCGAGCTTCCGCGCCACCCGACCGAGCATGGGGAGCATGTCCGGGGTGGCAAGCGCTCTCGTAAAGGTGTACGTATCATCCTCCACCGTAGCCAGCAGATCCTCCGCGCCCACCACATCAGCTCCTGCCTCCTTGGCCGCCGCCGCCGCCGCGCCCTGCGCAAACACGGCAATGACGTCTGACTTGCCGGTCTCGTGCGGCAGCGTCGCCGTCCCGCGCAGCGCCGCCCGTCGCGGATCCATGTTGATCTGCAGGGCCACATCGACGGCTTCCTTTTCCTAACCACGCCACCAGTCAGCAGAGAGGCCGGAGCATTCCCCCATGGCTCCCCATGCATAAGTGTATATCTCGTGCCAGCCGTACCCTCCCACACACCCTCCCTCACCTCCCTCTCAGACGCGACACGGTGGGATGAACGCACAGCCGGGCGGGAGGCGAGTCGGAGGGGGGGGGGGGGCATGGGCAAGGGGAAGGGGAAAGGCTAGAGGAGAAAGAGGATAGCGGAGGGGGGGGGAGGTATGATGGCGGAGGGATTGAGTACGTACGCGTGTGGTGGCAAAGAGCTTAACGAGCTGGACAGCGGTGGTAAGGTCCTCACAGAGCCCCTCCTCGTCGACGCGCAGCGCCCAGTGCGCCGAAGGCTCAATGGCAGAGGCGACAGAGGAGGAGGAGGAGGAGGAGGGGATGGTGGTGGTGGTGCTGCGCATGGCAAGGGTGTTCATCATCCGTGCCGCACCCACAGAGGCTTGCACAACTCGCAACATGCCGCAGTCAGTGGGTGGGGAGAGTCGTGTGTGTGGGGGTGGGGAGGAGAGGGGAGGGGGGTGGGGGGGGGAGGGAGGGAGGGAAGAGGGTGGATCGAGAGGGGAGGGGGGATGGATTTGGGGGGGGGGGGGATCGAGGGGATCGGAAGGGGGAGGAGGATGGGGATGAACAGGAGGGGAAGGGGGGGGGGGAGATATTTTGTGGTGTGTGTGTGTGTGTGTGTGTGTGGGAGGGTGTCAGAACATGGCTACAGGCCGCACAACATCGCTGGGAAAGACATCGTCGTCGATCGGGACGGCGGACGGCTCCATGTTGCACACCTCACCGATCCATGCGTGAAAGTCGGCCATGAGCCGAGCCGCAAAGGCTGAAAACTGCGGCCCGTGCTCAGGCGAGAGCAGCTCCCGCTCTTCGAGGCGAGCGCAGACCGCGGCGTTGAGCTGAGGATCAAAGAGCGGAATGCCAAAGACGACGTCGTACAAGAACCAGCTGTCGTTGTCTGCTGGCGTCTCCTCTTGACAGCTGCTACTCGATCGCATGAGGGTCACGTATCCGGCAGCCGCATCGAGGCCAAGCTTGTCCACAACTTGGCGGACCAGCGGGTGCTGAGCGAGCGCGCCGTCGCGGTCGTCGAGGGGAAAAGCGACATGCGCAAAGTCCGGCTCCGAGGTTGACGCGCCGGGCGCAGGCGCGTACATCTGCAGCAGCAGCGGCGATGAGCGAAGTCTGGCGTTGATGAGGGGGAGACAGTTGATGAGGACCGAGGCCTCGCTCTCGCCGCGCCAGGGCGTTATCCACACGTGCGACTGCGTGCCGCAGGTGTCGAGCGCAGCGTCGAGCGGCGCCGGGAGAGCCTTAAGCCGCACCCCGCGCGGAATGACTGTTGCCGGTGACCCACCGCCCACCGCCGAGTACAGGTACATCCGCCACCACGGCGTGGTAAAGTGAGCCGAGCTCGGGCCAAAATTGCGCGGCGTCGACGAGTGGACAGCCAGCGAGTCCGGCGCGAGCGGCGCGATGGCCAGCAGCGCGGCGTAGTTGGCGTCGAGGACCCGTGAGCGGGTGGCCGGCGGCAGCGAGTTGACGGCCTCGCACTTGAGGAGGTCGACAGCATAGTTGAGCGGCGGCGAGCGGAGCGTCACCAAGGTCTTGTGCAGCGTCACCGTGTGCTCGTAGTACGTCCGCACCTCGCCCTCTACGATGGCGTTGGCCGTCGAGAGCTCCGCCACAAACGAGTCCATCGTCTCATCCGTCAGCTTGCCCACCTCGAACAGCGTCACGGCATGGACCTTGAGGCCCTTGGACAAGTTGCCCATCATGAGGAAGGCAGTTAGCGTGGCGTCAAAGAGCAGACCGACCCGCTGCCGCTGCTCGCTTCCCGTATCCGCCACGGCCGCTGCCGCACTTCCCGCCCCGCTCTCACTGCCCGGCATCCGCTGCAGCTTCAGTCGCGTCATCTCCTTGGCGCTCACCATCTCGGCTTCGAGCTCCTCAGCTGAGAGCTTGTCGAGCCACGACGGATGGCACGGCGACGAGAGCGAGCCCGAGCCTGACTCACACGGCTCAAGCAGCGGCGGGACCGTGGCCTTGACCGCGATACCGAGTCGGAGGTAGAGCGACGCCGCCACAAGGATGTCCTCCAGCGGTGTGTCGAGCATGGCGGCGAGATCGCCGAGCGTTGTCCGCTCGTTCGAAGCCACAAAGATAGCGTACAGCCGGACCTCGAACGGGTCACCGCGAACCCGGTTCATGACAAAGCCGCGGAGCGGTGGCACGACAATGTGGTCGTGGGCAGAGACCGGAACGTGCGCCACTACCAGGCCCTTACGGTAGAGGGAGACAACCGTGGGTGCAGGAAGATGGCCAGCAAGTCGCGGGCCTTGCGTGGTCAGCTCGCGCAGCACGGCCTGCTCCTCCGGAGTCAACGCGGCGCCCAGCAGCGGGTCGACAGCGTACGGCGCGGCCTCGATCTGCCACCAGTGCGCGATGTGCAGGTTCGACGGTGGTGCGCCCGGAAGCAGCTCCGACAGGGCCTGTGGGTTGTCGATGCCGGCCTCTGCACCGCTAGCCAGTGGCGTGGACGACTCGGCGCCCGGGATGTATTGCGCCTCGGCCGGCGGGCCGGCGATGAACACAGCATCGCGCGGAACGAGCGCCGCCGCGGCCGTCGCCTCGGGTGCCCCAGGCAGCGGCAGCGGCGACTCGCGCTGATCGAGCGACGACTCGCGGGCGTCGTCAAGGGCAGCAAGGACAACGTCCGGCTCGCCCAGCGCGCCT